GTGTGTGTGTGTGTGTGTGTGTGTGTGCGTGTGTGTGTGCGTTTCTGCAGGGGAAGGCAGCAGAGGTCAAAGTGTGCTGGCTACCTTGCTCTTCCTGGTAAGTGATGGCTGATGTAATTGAATCCATAGCTACACACAGTCTTAGTGTTTTGTGAAAGTGAAAGTGAAAGTGGGACTGATAATTGTTTTGAGCACAAGGAACTATCTTAAGCATACTCGGATCCCTTTTAAAGTGAACTGAACTGAGACCACATGAGAACATGTGCACACCAGCCTTCAAGTAGTCATCTGGCTCAAGTTTGGTCATCTGACATCTGAAGCAAATACATTCTAACCTGTTTGCCCTATACATTTGCTAATTCTATTTTGTTTATTTGGGTTATTTTATACGGTGTTTGCCAAACAGCAGTTATTTTTACAAAGTGAAACCTCCCATTATGAACCAAATGTAGTCCAATTAAAATAGCCTGTGAGGTGGACTGAACCAAAAACAACTATTGTCTCTTTGTGTTCACATTATGAGTTCACTTAAAGATGATGCAGATCACTTTCTAGTCCACTTCAGCTCTTATGGGGTCTTAAGCCCAATTCATAGTTACATGTAGATGCGACGCAGATGCCTTTGTTGTGCCATTGCGTCTTTGCTGACCACCTCTGCGGCCAACATAGAGGCCTTTAACCACATCATTTCTGTGCCCATCCCGTTGTGGTGAGTATTTGCATAGCGACATGGTTAACCCGATGTAGAACTTCAAAGGGTTGACTGTAGGGATGACTGTGTCCAAGCGACTGAATCCAGTAGTTTTCACTTGGAACAAAATGACTGCTGCTTGACAAACGCCATATAAAATAAACCAAAAGAAATTATCCAACAGAAAAAGGGTAAACCTTTATTTTTTCGGCTTCAGATGACATATCTCCAAACTTGAGCCAGAAGACTAGTTGTGAGCTGTAGGCTGTACTGTATATGCTGTGTGTAAGATGACTTGTGGACTGTTTACAGTGGCAGAGTCTGGGAGGACACCTGGGAGCCGGCCAGCAAATTCGCCTGATGACCAATACTGTTGTACTATTTGTTTTGTATATATTTGTCAATAATTAAATTCACTATTTTTACATTTTATGATTTGTCTGTCAATCATTGACTGCACTGAATAATTAATGTGTCATGACTTTGTGCTGTATTTGATGGGAAAAGTGAGATAGCGGAAAGTTGCATGTAGTGACAGTCAAGTCAAGTCACCTTTATTTATATAGCACTTTTTACAATACAGATTGTATCAAAGCAGCTTCACAGTGATAACATGAAAATAATACAACAAAGTTTCTTTCTAGAAGAAAATTACATCCTCGTCCACCTTAAGGCAGATTAGCAAGCCAAACTAAGCAAGCCAAAAGCCAAGGCAACCAGAACAAGTACCAAATTGGCATTATACTAACTGATCATGAACATTTTAGTCAGTATTGATGGTAATTTTGGAGCAAAGTAAATGGGCCCCTATCCCTAGTGACAGATGCCTCCCACATCAGGATGTATTACTGAAAGACTGCATCCTTTTTTACCTCTGATCGCTAGCACGCAACACTGTTTGTTTTTGTTATCATGGTTGTCTGTTCAGAACAATTATGAGAGTTCTTAAGACATTTCAAACATTCCCAATGAAGAGAAGAGGCACATTTATCAATTTTCATCAATGGTACATGGGTCAGCAATGATTTTTCAGGTCAGGAAAGAACTATGACAAAAAATATGAAAGTGAATTGAAATCACACAGCGTCTGAAGCGCCACTCAGGCCATTTTTTCATATCCTTTGCCTCATACAAAGACAGATTGGTGTCAAATTTCACAAATAATTTCCTCATCCTCTGTGTCAACAATCAACATACAGTATGTGCATGACATAAGGTGATCAGACTTCAGAGATCAGAAAGACCGGAGACATGAGCCTGAGAAATCGTTAAAGCCAGGAACAATTCCAGCTTGGCCATCAATATAATTTAAAAGTCTAATGTTTTCTTGTCATAAAACCAGGGAGAGAGGTAGGTTTCCTATGTTTCCCTGACAATAGGGAACGTGCCAGGACACTGAGGACATCAATCTGGTCACCCTGGAATGACTTGACTGTGGGCTGTTTACTAAGGCCTATGACAGTGGTAAGAAATCTAAGGCCTGGCTGTGCAAGGTGGGCCACATGTGGCCTGATGTGCTGTTTAATCTGGCTAATGTCTTCATGATCAAAGGCCTCTGGTCTTTATTGTCAGGAAAATGTTGCATTATTCATGAAATACACTCAGTCCCCACTTATTCTAACCCTAACCCTAACTCTCGTTATTCTCCATGCCAAGTATGAGCTCTTATCCTCAAGCATAAGATATAGGGGACCCCAATGTAAACTAAATATTTCTAAACTATAGGCCTAATTTAAACCTACCTCAATTAAAAATTTAAATAATGTTGCTTGAGGCTGCAGCGGTTGTGCAATAGCTTCATGATATAATGCATATAGGGTTGTGTGTAGGTTGAAAGATGAGCAATAGACTGTGGCTTTGATGTGCTTCAGTCTGGCTACATATCACTTTGTTTATGTTGTTTTTTATTGTAAGTATATGTCGGATGTATAATAAAATAATATGTTACGTTTTATGTGTGAAGCATTTGAACTCAAGGCAAATATCCCTCTGGGGACAATAAAGGAGGCTATCGCCTGCAAAGTGGTCTTCATGATATGTAAAATTAAAACGTTGTCGTAGGACTATAGCAAGCACATCATTGGAAAGGTCTCAACCTCGACAGTAACATATGTCAGTCTGAAGAGGATACATTACTCCTGATTTGAATTGACCTCTGCTCTGAACCTTGAACCCAGTACATGTTTGAAGGCTTGTCATTTAGCAACAGAAGGTGCTACACACATAGGACCAGTTGTTATAGAAAGCTCTGGACCTTAGCTGTCATGCAGATATGGTCTCCAATGTTTAACCACTGTAAATGCTGTCAAATATGGTAATAAGCTATTTTGACCTATTTAACAATTCAGTTTTTAAAATCTGATGACACCAGTGTGTTCCCCATCCCCCCCAAAAAACAGGGTATATCCAAAATTCTACACTGCCAACTTCTACTTATGAGAAATATAGCACTATATTTTAAAACTACACCTTCCACTAGAGACACACCACAGAACACAGTTACAAAGCTAGTGTTACTTGTAGTTCTTCCGGGCTGGGTGGGTGGACTTGTTCGGCTCCTCTGTTTTTCTGCTGTCTGCTGTGAATGGGCTTCAACTACATTCAAAAAGTTCAAAACTGAGCAGTGTTGTTGCATTGTAGTGTTCTGTCTTACAGCATACTGTAATGTTTCACCAATAATAAGACTGAAATTATATTATTAAAATAATGTAATGAATACCATGATAACATCTAAATAAATGTTGATAGATGTAGCATTATAGTTTTAAAAATATCAATAAACAAAAGCAATCCAGCTTCTCTGGCAATAAGACAGAAATAATAACATTAAAAGAAATACATATAAACCATATGATCTCGTGAATAAATGTTATCTGTGTATCCATGTAAGATGTATCTAGGAGATGAAGGAAACTGTCATGATGAAATGTCTTCTTCCCCCTAGTACAGACACTGTACTTAAGACGACACACCACATTTTAGGCATTTATTAGCTTATACAACCACAAAAACAACACACATAGCTCAGACACATAACAAAAATCACAAATGTAAAAAGTGAAGAGCATGTCAAGAGATTACAAAGGCCTGGTAGGGACTGACCCTGTGATACATGATGGGCAGCTATGGATTTGCAGTGGTAGTAGTGCAAAAGTAAACAGTGCAGGGATTTACTAGAACTACTGTAATCCTATGCAAAAAGCGAAGATGGTGATGGTGACATAACTAAAATAAGGTAAAAGTAGAACACACACATGCATAAAACAGCATACACTACAACAGACAATATACAAGAACAGTAATGGTATACACAATGACCTGAAGGATATGTGTATTCAATCAAAGAAAGGTTTTCCTATGAATTAATTAGAGAACAGTCCATTTCTCTGGGCATTATGTGTCTTTCTTATGAGGAAAATGAGGGAGTTTCTCTGCCCGCATTCCTTTAGGCAATAAAACCAGTGATATCAGCATTGGTTGCCATGGAAACAGAGGCCTGTTCTGCCTTTCTGAGGTGTTAGGTGCATTTCGGGGGAAGGGTCCATCGACCCTCGTAATTGGCCCTTTGGTTAGGTGAGGGGGCGTTAGATATTATTTGTTAAATATAACAAAAGTTGTGTGTCTGATTGGTCCAAATGCTACAAGTGCATGTTTAATATGACTATGGAAAAAAAGAGTATGAGCATAATAGTATTGCTTAACAAAAACAATACAAAGAAGATAAAATAAATAGAACAACAGAAACTTAAATATATATTTAAAAAAGATTATACAAGCCAACAGGGGTAAATGTTGAAACCACAGTCCAGAATGTGTAGAGGGGCTAATGTAGCCTGTAAGACAGTCAAATGGATAGTGGATACTAGACAATAGACAAAGTGATGTGATGGTTGGCGCATGGTGAGACTCATGCTGAAAAGTCAATTTCTCCCCAAACCTTTTCTGTGACATTGAGTTGCTGGTTTGCCCTGGGGACAAAGGACCTCCTCAATGTTGAGCATGACAGAAGACTGCTACTGCAAATTATCCTCAGTTTGTTAAATGATTAACTCCAGCTCCATGCCAAACACAGAGCCAGCTTTCCTTACCAACCTGTCCCAGCGGCCCTCTTCTTAATGCTGCCTCCCCAGCACACAACAGCATAAAAAAGGACTCTGGCCATGTTTAGTCTTGCTCAGAGTCACTACTGGTATGGTATTCCTCAGAATCACTATCAAAGTTAATTTCTGTTTCAGTCAGAACTTAAACATAACATTTCTTTGCATGCTTTGTCAGGCTGTTGCTTGCTTGCTTGTTCTTCATCGTCAAGCTCTGTAGACCTCGGATACCATCTTGAAGCAGGCCCCACGTCTCACCTTACATGTTAAAACACATTGAGCCTTTATTAATTAGAAACATTCAGAAATATTGTAATGTATGCCAAGTATAACAAATACATACCTGATGTCACATTAGAAAGCTGGGATGACATCTGCTTCAGGGTGTCTGCACGGGTGCAAAGAGACTTCCAATGCTTGTTCATCTCTGCAATAAGAATCCTCTTCTCCTCCTCAAGTCTCCTTACTGCCATCACAATGTCGAACGCCTTCCTCTTTGTCCTTAGATCTACAGAGTCTGGAATACATAGATGAAACATAAGTCGGTTGTATTTAAGATTAGTATTTAAAGATTTTCTGGGGTTACAATCGAGGCATGACAGATTTTGTCCCACTATGTGACTATTTCACATAGTCAACGGAATTGTGTACATACCACCGTGTGTAAGCTGCCATGGCCAAACAATCTCATCAGATAGAATGGTGTCCAATGTCAGTTTTTCTGCATCAGGAACCAAGGTGTTATACTTTTCCACTACAGAATTTAAGTTTTTCTTTTCTTCCCTGATCTTTCAGCGGATTCGGGCACGTCCTTTGCATCCGTCACTATCCTTATAAAGACGCTGGGACCTCCTCTTAACACTTGCCACCAGCTCCTCAATTCGGCTGGCAGCAGCGGCAACATCAGCATCATTTGGGGATGTTGTTGCTGAGAGGAAGAAATGAAGAGATAAGAAATATGCTTCTTGATTCCATGAAAAAATATTATTTCTGGTGTATGAGCAAAATAAAGCCTCAACAATCTTTTCATATTTCTCTGAAACTGAGAGGCTACACTTGTACCTAAGGTTGAGTATAGTTAGGTTAGTTAGGTTCTTTATTGTCCCCATGGGGATAATCTTGTCCACACGTCATCAGCAATCACAGTATGTGCTCTTTGACTACGATTACAATGAGCCTCTTTGGAATTGCAGCCAAGATAAGTCAGAAGTGATACATCAAGCACCACATCAAACAGTATAAAACAGTATATCCTACCTTCTGCCCACTCATTGATATCAATGATCCACCTCTCCAGTTGATTGTCTGAGATGTCCATTTCCGTTTTCATGGC